GTCTAGTTTAAATTTATTGAGAATATAATTATTTCTTTGAAAGAAAACGTCAGGAGAAACATTTTCTATAAGTTTGTGTTCTCCACTGTTAGTCTCCAATAGAAAACCACCTAATTTATAAGCTGTAAATTAGGTAAAAAGTAACCTAGCGTTGACTAATGTTCAAAGAACACTTGGGCTTTTAGATGATGGTCTACTATACCATTGGTCACGGATTAGGAATTGACTTTGTCCAATCTATTTTTCTACAAAACAAGAATGTTTTACTCTGAATATAATCTTTATTTAATAAAATAAAAATTAACATTTAAATCCACAATTACAATCATGTGGCCACACACATTCTGTTTAAAACTTTTTTATTAGGAGACATCGTCTTTTCACAACACTTTTATTTCCAAACATAAGGAATATTAAGACGCAGGCGAAGGAGTGGATGAAGAATCAATTATACTCTGTAGTTTTCAGTTCCAGGGAATACTCGTCTAGTTCTAAGTGAAATATGCATTCTCTCATGGATTTACCAGGATTTTAGGCACAGTCTTTTCATAAACAGACATTTTAACAATAAGGCATGGTTTAAAAAATAAAATATATTTTTGACACTCTCACTTCTATATTCTCCCCTTTTAATTGATATTACACACTCAGTTAACAAGATCTCAGTTTGGAATGGATTAAATATACATCTAAGACACAGTCAGGAGCAAGAATGATGACTGTGAACGGCTAAATACAAATCTCTGAATGGAGTAGGAGACTCTGTTTCCTGGCAGATTATTTCTATAAAAAACCTTATCAGCTTTGTCATCTTTCTCATGGTTAACATCTCTGATGATGTATTTAAGACATTGAAATGAAGGCTGGTCAAGTTGTTATTGTACTGTATGTTTGGGTACTACTCTGGTTTGGGCTGCAACTTATTTTTCTGTGGCTCGAAGAAGTTTTCCACGATGGCTTTAACCAAGTCGTCCAGTTCCTTCTTCAGGTGTTTCACATCGCTGTTGTGGAGAGAAGTCAGACTTGTTTAAGAAATGATTCATATTTTACAAATCAAACATCCTACATTTAAAATAAATTCAACTATATCATGGTTTTTGTGTTCAAGACAAAAGGAGCAATTTTCAGAAAAACTTTGGTCTATATTTTTTCGACCTACCTGTTTCCAGGAGCAGCACAAAGCTCAGTGTAGTATTTGATTTTTGGCTCGGTGCCGCTGGTCCTCATTGTGGCCACACCTCCGTTGGAGAAGCTGAAGGTGATCATTTGACTGGAACTTGAAGTGGGAAGAACCTGTGAGGAGGTGGGAGCAGCAAGTCAGCAAAAAGACGAGCCAGAATGTTGAAAAAGTTGCAGGTCAATTGGTTCGGAAAACATTTTTTTAGTAAGTAGGTGAACTACTTGTCATTGTGACACAGCACACCACTTCACCCAACCAAATGTGATCTCTGCTTTTCACCCATCACCAAAGCCACCTTCTGGAATGCAGTGGACGCTGCAGCCAAGCTTCATGTTGTAAAGAGAATAACATGTTCCAATGGGAATACAAAAGGACAGGTTGTTCTAGTAGTTTGGGAACGGCGTCCAGGTGTTCCTGACTGCTATCTGACTGTGAGGTGAATGTCAGTATAATAGTACACCAGTGTGTTTGTGGACTCACAGCCTTTTTGTCAGGTTGGTTGCTGTCGTAGCCGGTGGTCAGGTCTCTTACAGATGAAATGGAGAATCCACCACAGTCAGAGGGATACGAGTCCTTCTGGCCGCCGTAGTTGCGCAGGCGATCAAACAAAGTGCGGATCACGGTTTGGTCATGGCAGATGAAGTAGGAGTTTTTACTGATGTGGTAGCCATACCTAGAAAATACAAAAAACAGATGAGATGCTGTGAAATTAATGACGTTTATGCAAGGTTGGGTATACACAAGGTGAGACAACAAGAGGTGAGACGATCACAGTGTGTATGAGTGTGTGTGCGCGTGTGTGTGTCTTACTCTGTGAAGATAGTCGTCAGCTGTTGAGAAAGGCTGATGTTTTTAGTAGCCAGAAAGGAAATCATTTCTCCTGCTATGGCTGCAGCACTGACTCCATCCTTGTCCAGAACAAATGGGCTACACATGTACCCTACAACGCACACACACACAACAGAGATCACAACAATGTCAGAATTTCATTAGCTACAAAACCTTTAATACTGAAGTCTCTCTAAAATCATGTGTGTGTGTGTGTGTGTGTGTGTGTGTTCATGTTCATACCTATGGCCTCTTCAAAAGCAAAGAGAACACTTTTGCCCTGGTCCAAAAGCTCCTTGGCTCTGTTTCCCATCCACTTGAATCCTGTCAGTGTTTCCTGTCCAGACAACGGTGAAGGTGAGTGTGAAGTCAACATTTTCAAACGTTGTAAATCCTGCTTTTGACAAAGTAGTTGCTGCTGTGTCCTAAAGTGTTATATGGTAGGTTTTTTAAAAAAAGCAGCAGATGATATAACAGAAAGTCTGTAAGTACTAGACTGGACTGTGTTACCTCAAAGTGGAAGCCTTCTTTGACAGCGATGGCCCTCAGTATCTTGGATGAGACAGTGCTGGACAGCATGTAGAGGTTTTTAACAGCGTCTGCTTCAGGGTTCTGTTGTTTCCAGCAGCGGAACATCCACCAACCCAGCAGCGCCCCCAGCTCGTTACCACTGAACACCTGCCACTGCCCGCTGTCAAAGAGGGAGAACATGCATGAACTGTGGCGATGATGTCACACAAAACCTCATATAAATCATGATAAAATAAGTTCCACAGGTCCAGAGAGGTAATGTAAAAAAATATTTACTTATTAATACTTGATGTTATAACACTAAGTAATAACTGTAATATTAGGCAGCTTTATTTTTTAAACTATTATTAACAGTTTAAAACAAATAATCATACATTTAAAATAATTTATGATTAATTCATGGCTTTAATGAGAAAAACTAATAGACCTTTTTAATATCATAGAGCTGACGAACAGTCTGTACACACAAAAAATAAATAAAGTATAAGAAAATTCGAACAATCAATTATTATATTTTTTAAATTAAAAAACCTTGAAGTTAAGTTTTGATAATTGATTAATCCACTAATAATTGCAGAATTGTTCACCTCTTCTCACCCATATTAATTAGAATCTAATAAAAGTCTCGCAAGCAAATAACACTTACATTTGTGTCATTAAATCATGACAAATTTGTTCAATAATGAAAACCCAACAGTACAATGTTCTATGTCAAATACACACAAACACACACCTCTCCTGTTTCTCCGCAACAGCCAGTCGATCAGCGTCGGGATCGTTGGCCAAAACCACAGTGGCTCCCTCTCTGCCTGCCAGTGCAAACGACAGAGTCTACAAAACACAATGCCAACATTTCACAGTGAGAGTGTGTGACAGGACTGCTAAGTTCATTGTGTGAAGTTTTGTTCATACCAGAACTCCCTCTCCTTCCTCAGGGTTGGGATATTTGACGGTGGGGAACTCTGGGTCTGGATCTTTCTGTTCCTCTACAGCAAACGGAGCAGGAAGGTCAAAGGCTTTGAAGGCTGCCTGTACAAAGGCGTGGCCGACACCATGCACAGACGTGTGCACAATTTTCACCTCTGAACTTTTGTTTACACCTCTGAAAAAACACAGGTCCAGGTAAAAAAAAAATTTACAATTTACAAAATGACAACTGTAATGTTAAAAGTGTGAACTGGAAAAGACACATTGATCCAACTGGTTTTTCAATTTTATTTCTGATTGTGCTGGAGAAGCTAATTCAGCTATTTGCTGTGCTACAGTTAGCCATCTCTGCCTTTTCGGGTTTGTTTGTTTACAGTTTGCAAGCTTTAGTCGCACGCTCTTTGGCTTCTTTCTGGTTTTCTACAATTTCTTCCAGTAGGTCACATTGATCAGCTCAGTTTAAACGTTGTATTTGTTTGCGCCAGATCCATGTAAACTTTATATAATATTTTAGGTATTATGTTTTATATTTCAGTATTTTAGGTTCCATGTGAAGAACTCAGTGTGCGGTTTCATCTGTGCTGTGAATACCTGTGGTGACAGTGTTTCTGAATGGCTTTGAAGTATTGCGTGTGGATGTCCTGATATGGGTCTTTGAGCAGGGGACTCTTTAAGGCCTCCTCTGCATTCCAGGACTCAGGCCAAGGCTCCAGGTTAATCTCTATGGCCTTGGATATCCCTTTGTCATGAGGAGACACAATCTGGGCCCCATTTTCCCAATACACCTGAGGCAGGAACAGAGTAGATATTAAGATACAGTATGACCGCACTGAACAACAGAGAGTCTTGCGGTACAAAGAATCTCAGGGATCAAACATGCTCTTAGGACAAAACACAGGACATTTGTGTACACACTGAATTGATCTGTATGATTAACCAAAAAAAAAAAAGACATTCATGCTTCAAGTGTCCTACACTACAAATACGTGGCAACAGGTTTTGGATGAGCTGAACGAAAGTGCTAATGTCTAAAAACCAGCTTGACCTTTAAAACAAACATTACCTTGTAGCCATTGTCCTGTTTAGGGTTGTGAGAGGCAGTAACCATGATCCCTGCACAGAGACCCAGGTGTGAAACTGTAAAAGGCTGCAGGGAAACAGCAAGAGCTCAGGTCACTTCCAATAATTTAACATTATACTGCAATACAATGCTACACTACACTTTCTACCACTAACAAGTGAAAGAACAATAACTGTGTTGGTTCTCAGTAATACCATGTTCATGTGAAGGCAGCTTGACTGAGTACAACAGAGTAACTTCTATATATGTTATGCAATGCCAACTACAGTATATGGCGGGGACGTAGACATTTGGAATGGAATTTGCCCCTGCAGCTTCCAAATGACAAACATGACACCAGACAAAAAGCCAGAGGGTTTTTATGTTCTTACTTTTACTAGTATAATTCATACATATGTGAACATATATACATATATATACATGTATATATGTATATACATATATATACATATATATATATATAGATATATATATACATAATATGCTATATAAGCTACTGTAGCATTGTTCTTTCAATCTGCAATATCCAGGTCATCTTAGAAATCCATTAAATTACCACAAAAGGTGTTGGAGTGAT